AATATTATAATGAGAGACGCCCTCACAGTAAAAAGTTACTGGCTCATATTCAAAGAACTGTGATCTGTTTGGAACAACACGAAGAAAAACTGCACCTGAGACAAAATAAAAGGTTCACATTAGTTTTATTGTTCAATAACTGAAATGTGGGAGCACAGAGTAAAATAAGAAATCTCAAACTGACATAACTGAAATGTGTTAATATCAGTTTAACTAGCCAGTACTTACCAACTCTCTGATCATGTGCACAAAATGGGATCATCACACTCATTACTGAAAAGACAAAAAGGGCTAGACTTGTAAACCTATTGAGAAATGTATTTGCTGTTTGGCAGTTTGTTATGGTTCCTCAACATGAAACTTTTAAAACAACGCAGTAGTTTAATTTAGTAGTTTAGTTTAATAGTTTAGTTTTACTTTCTTAAACAGATTCCTTATATTTTAGTTTTAATGCGGGAATGAAAAAAGTACTCACTGAGTTTGATGCAGAGGGCTCTGACCTCCATAACGTCTTGCAGATTGTGAACAACAGTCTGTTCCTGTGTGGCTCATTTCTGCTGCTGAAACAATATTTAGCATTTAAAAATAGCTTTCAAAGAAGCAGAGACACTGCTGTTGTTGTCACACCTCAGTGTTTCAGTTCACACTCACTGGAGGGAAAAAACAAGCTAATGCTTCGCTAAACCCAGAGTGACACTACTGTCTGAACACTGGAAAAAAATGCACTGCTAATGGGTTCATTGTATATGATGAAGGTGCTTGCACTTGTCAGTGAATTAACCTGTTTTAAACTGAAGCTAAGATTTGCAAGTATGAGACTCTGAGTACATCAAACAGAGATACAAATGTAAACCAGAACTTTATAGCAGAATACATTCTGGACTTTTATTTCAAACAATGGTTTTTATGCAGATTTACCCCTTATTGAGAAACCCTGACGATATACACTTAGGTGGATATATGTTTTGACAGGGACACAAGTTGTTTTTTTGTTTTTTAACCTGTTCACTTAAACATAAGGCCTGGAGTTGATTTGAGGTGTAGTCCTTGCATTTGGAAGATTTGGCTGTGAACCGAAAATATGTGGAGCTCTCCATGCAGGTGAAATAAGTCATCCTTAAGCTGTGAAACAGAAAGAAAATCCATCCGAAAAATGCTACAGTATCAGGAGGGGCAAAATCTACAGTTAGGTACATCCTGAGGAAGTAAGCACTGGTGAACTTAATCAAGAACGAAAGTCGGAGGTTCGAAGACGATCAGATACCGTCGTAGTTCC